ACAATCAAGCATTCATTAAACTTAGATCAACAATCAAGCATTCATTAAACTTAGATCAACAATCAAGCATTCATTAAACTTAGATCAACAATCAAACATGGAAGCAGCAATCAATAAATCAAATGATGTATTGTATTGGGCAAATCTGCTGTAAAAGATCTCTTTAAAGCATTGAAAGGTGACCATGTGGTCATGCAGGACCAGCCTGCATGACCCTGAGACCAGAAGAACTAGATGGTGCCTGGCTACCACTGTTAACCACTCAGAAAGGCATCAGTACAGGAGACCCTGGAGAAAAATGTGGAACAAAACTCAAAATCATAAAAAAGACCAGACTTACTGGTTTGATAGAGACTGGTGAAACCCCTGAGACTATGGCCCCTTGTCACACTTTAGGCCTGGGATTGAACGCACTCTGGTGGCTTCCAGTCAAACAATAGACAGGCATATAAGGTGAACATTCATACCAAGTATAGGTGCACTCCTTAGAACAATCAATCATGGGAGATTAGAAGGCAGTATTTGCACAGGGAGATAGCTCAGAGGGCAGTAATATATGGGAAAGAAGGATGCAGGGAAAAGCTAACCACAGGGAGGAAGTGGGAAGAGAGCTGTTTCATTGTGGGTACTGCAAGCAATGTCATGAAAGAAAATGTGTATGAACTGCTGTGTGGCTGTGTAAACTTTCACACAAATCACAAGCACACACACACAGAGACCCAGATTAGTGTGTAGGGGGGAATGTTGAAAAGCAAAGATGTCACTCTGAGGGCTAAGATGCACCTGACCCAAACCATGGTCATATATATGTGAAAGTTGCATGAGAAATAAGAAAGACTAAAGAAGAAGGAAGGCTGGGCAATCTACTTCCATAGTGATTCCACCTTGGAAACCCAAGGAGGGGTCACTATGAGTCAGGTCTGACTCAACGACACATAACAACAACAACACAGAAGAAGAATTGATGCTTTTGGTCTTGGCAAAGAATATTGAATATACAATGAACTGCCAGAAGAATGAACCAATCTGTCTTTGAAAAGTACAGCCAGAATGCTTCTTAGGAGCAAGGATGACAAGACTTCCTCTCATGTACATGTTGGACATGTTATCAGGAAGGACCAGTCCTGGAGAAGGACATGATGCTTGGTAAAATACAGGGTCAGCAAAAAAGAGGAAGACCCTCAACAAAGTCAATTGACGCAGTGGCTGCAACGATGAGTTCAAACATGGCAACAATGGCACAAGATGGCATAGGACCAGGCAGTGTTTCCTTCTGTTATACATAAGGTTGCTGTTGATGGAACTGACTTGATAGCACCTAACAACAAATATATTGAGACCCGTTTTATGAGGCACTCTTTTGTCAGAGATCTATTTTATATTTGCAGGAAATTTCCACTTGGATACCTCAAAGGAACTTCCAATCAGCATGACCAAGATCATTCTTATGATAACTCCCATTCTCGTAAACATTCCTCTCCCAGTATTACCTATCTTGGTGAAGGCAGCATCATCCCATAAATTGTTCTGGCCAGAAATCCATGATCATCCTTGATAGCTCTTTGGCTTCTAAATCAATCAATCACTAAGTCTGGTTGACTTTAATTTCTAATGATCTCTTGAATCCGTCTCTACTTCTCTCCATCTCTACTGTCAACTATCCAAGCTATCACTGTGTCTTATAGGAACTATTTATAGAACTCATTCAAGCTATTTTTATATCCCTGTGTACTCTCATTTGGGAATAGGGCTTTCTTTGTTATGTTAATGATGTATATCACTATAGGGTATATCTTAAGCCAATCATCTTTGAAATCTCAAAAGATCACATTAGGGAACAGAGAAGCAAGCACAAAAGGAGGGAGAGATACAAACCACAGGAAGGTCACCAAGAAACCGAAGGACAGAGACTGAACATAGACAAGGACCTTCCCTCAGAGCTGACACACACAGAAAGAAGTCCTGCCCCTAGAGCAAGCAATCTGAATTTGAACGCTTAGCCTCCAAAGCTGTGAGAAAGTAAGTTTCTATTCTTTTAAGCCATCCTTGTGTGGTATTTCTGTGATGGTAGCACTAAGAAACTAAGACACTGTCTTTATAGGAACTACTGCAATTTTCCTACTGACTGGTTTCTCTACTTTTTCAACTTCTTTTGTCCCCCTTCCATCCACTTTCCAAATTGCAATCAGTTTTTGCTTCGAAAATGTAAATCTGATCTTATCAATTTCCTGCTTAAAATCTCATTATATTAGGGGCAAAAATATCTGCATATGGTCCATGATGCCCTGCATGGCCTGGCTCCTACTGACGTTTGTAGCCACGTCTTGTACCTTTGCTCTCTACCCTCCAGCCACACAGGTCTGCTTTCAATTAATTGAACGCACACCCTCCCTCTTGCCACAGGGCCTCTGCACAGGGCTTCTTTCTGCCCATCTCTTTCTTCTCTCCTGACTTAGTTAGTTAACTCTTTAGTCTTTAGATCTCCTTCAAAGCTCAGTCCCTCAAGGACATGTTCCCATTCATCTAGACTTGTAATGGCACACTCATTAGTGGCTCCTTCATTAATGTCAGCCTCTTACTAGCCCTGTGAGAAGAGGATCTTGTGCCGTTTGTTTATATAGCAGCCCTGGCACCTGGCACAGTGCAAGGCAGGAAGAGGCTCAATGAATATTTGCTGGATACAGAGTTGGATCTCCTTTCCCAGCCTCAGCTTCCACCTTGGATCCCTGCCCATCCCTGCTTCCAAAGCAGAGCCCAGGCCACACTCACCGCAGGGTCTCCAGGTGGCAACGAGGGTGTCTCAGGGCCTCACAGAGACTCTGCACTGCTGAGTGGCTCAGGGAGTTTCTGCTTATGTCCAGCTCCTGTAGGCTCCTGGTGACCCCAAGAATAGAGAAAAGATCCTGCCAGCAGGCGTCGGTGATGGAGACCCACCTGAACCTGCGGGAGGGAGAGAGGGACAGGAGCGACGTGACTTGCATGTGGGGGTTTGTGGTGTACGCCTCTGTGCAATGTTGTGAGGCTCTGCCAATCCGTGGGCAGTGTCAGACCTGTGACTGATTGGTCTCCCTGTCTGCTTTCTCCCACCCCACCACCCTGGGCTGGTGCCCCTCATCTGTGAGCCCCTTCATTACACCGCAGCCCCTGACCATACCAGACTGAAATGTTCATTCTGCTGGTAGGTTTCTGCTTCAGTCTGGGAGTTCCTTGAGGGCAGTGCTAGACCTTGTTCCCCGCCCCCCACATTGTATTTATTGTGTTGTTGTTGTTGGGAATATACATAGCAGAACATACCAATTCAATTTCTCCATGTACAGTTCAGAGACTGATACTATTCTTCCAGTTGGTAACCATGCTCCCCTCCTTTTCCGAGTTGTTTCTCCTTCGTTAACATAAACTCACTGCCCCCTAATGTTCCTATCTAATCTTTTGAAGCCAAAGAGAAGAGCAATCAGCCAAAGGGATTAGGTGAGGAGGGGAAACTCAGGGACGCCCAAAAAAGCAGGCCAGAAGAGCAGGAGAAAGAGGATTAAAAGACAGGAAGCCAGACAGAGGAACAGTCAGCCACATTGACCCAGGTGGGGGGGATACGAGAGGTCTCCAACAGCAGGACA